GTCACTGTCGTGCTATAAAGAGCTAAAACTTACCACAAACTGGTTTACAGGTCGAACACTTCGCGGTCTTCCGATCCAGATGCAAAATATCAGCTTGCGAAGTTCGGGCATGCGCAGAAAGCAAAATTTCGACATAGTTTTTGGGTTTAAAAGTGACACAGCAGTCTTGACTTTTACTTTTCGCTTTCTCTCCTCCCTTCTTTTTTTGCTTTTCTTGCCTCATTTTTTTTTTCTCTTGCTGGGCATTTAGTAGGCTTGATTTTGGTGGGAAGAGTTTTTAGGAAAGCTTTTAGGATCTTAGGATTAGGCGAAAGAAAAGGTAGGTGAGCAATGGGACAAGATTTTCATGGAGATTTTCAGGTCAATGTCACATGGTTTTTTGCTTGTTTCTCCGGTGTCCTTGACTGAATTGTGCTCATTCTGGTATGGTTTGAAAGATCTCTTCACTCTGCACAAGTTAGTGAAGAAAGTTGTCCTTGACCGTTAAAACTGATGACGTCACAATGGGTAGAAAGGACCTGGATCCGCACGGGCGGTTACGGGCGGTTCAGGGGCGAATGGGTTAAGACGGAACATTTTGAACATTTTGCGAAAACAAGGAACCTAAACAGCCTGAATTCTGTCAGTAATTTAAAACGATTTTTAGGGGCTAATAAGCGACCCTTACAGTGTAGAGTTTTCACCAGGTCATTTTTTCTTGTTGTTGGATTTTCCGTTTTTTTTCTCTAATTTCGCAAACTCTAGCTTCCTTTTGGGCAAGAACTACTAACACCTACTGGACACTTGAAATTTAAAACAGTTTTCCCCTTTTTTATCAAGAGTAAACTAAAAAAATGAATGGTTGTCTTTTGTAATCAGCTTTTTAGTAGAATAAGTGAAAAACGCTTCTCAGGGACAAAGCTGTTTTTAAATCTCTGATCAAAACAACATTACAGCCATGCCAATCCCCATCTCTCTAATCTAGTTCAGACTTTAAAAAGATCTTACCTTTAGTCACTTTTCAATCGTAGTTTTAAGAGAAACTCGCAAGAAAGCAACACTGATTGGAAACTATAAACTTCCAATACCTACCTCTAGCCTCTGACCATATCCGTCATATTTCAAATTTTTCGTTCGTTGTTTCTGTCCTGTTGTACTTTGTTTTGAATTTGATGCCGTTTATATAAGGTTTAATCAGGTGATAATTTCCCGGTAACTTGATGACGCTAGAAGTGGGTTTACTAAACCGCCCACAGCAATCCAATGACGTGTTTCCGAAAGTAATTTTTGTTCGATAAGTCCTATTTTTGTTTATGTTTGCATGGCAACATCAGCCGGTCGGTCGATACAAATTCTTTACAGGATAAGCTGGAAACGTGACCATTTATATTTCTGAAAATAATCATCAATTGAATTTTTCAAAACAGAAATCCTTATATTTTGTTTTTAGACAAGTTCTTAAATATTGATTTTTCTTTGACTTGACATTCTAGCTGTCCAAATAAAGTAACTGTCATTGCTTGGGATTAAAAAGAAAATCTTAGAACGCTGTACAATAGTTATGAAGCAGTAGTCGGTAAAATGTGTCATATTTGTAATGTGGATTAAAATAGGTTATATCGTAAACTTTTTCAAGATGTTCTGTCGGCGCGCTAAAACAAGAAAGTGCCAGGGAAAACATGTACAAGACATTTACCATCCAGATAAAATGTTATAGAATTTCAATTTAACAACTGCAGGCTTTTCTCAGTTTGTTGAAGGATTAAAACATTGCCCATTTTGCTTCGAATTTTGCTCGAAACTTTAAACAGCAAGGTTGGAATGAGAAATTCAGAATACTATAAATTTTTGCGTTAAATTGTTACTGAATTGATCGGAAAATTGTATTTCATTTTCAAGCGCAATTGTTGACAAGTTCAAAAATAGTGGTGTGAGCTCCGTAAATCAAAAGCTGTCCATTTTATCTATTTTCCTTAATATTTAGCCAGCTTTCAATAGTAGCAAGTTTGCCACCTTACCGATACACAGACCCACACATGAACAGTGGTATATTTGCTTTTCTAATAACATTTTCGCTTATTTTTCATCCTTCTGGCCCTTTGAACTAAAACAGCTTTATCTTAGTTTAGAGGGTTCAAGACAGAAGTACGTACGTGTCATTTTTTTCTTTACCACATGCGCCGGTTTGAAATAAAATTGATACAGTAATCTTGTATCCAACTAGCTCGAGTGGAATAGTTCTTCTAATAAAGACAGGCGGAAATATTTATGTTTTAATGTTTTTTTCTTGTGAAAAATCACCTTAAGTTGATTTAATGGGAGCTTGTTTTTGTCCGGTAAAGTAATCAGGAATCAGTCTTTTGTCGACCCATGACCGCTAAATCAATCAAAAATCATCCAGTCTTCACTTTGTCAGATAAACGATGGCAACATGACAACATTATCGCTATAGTTGTTTTTGTTCTCTTAATTTATGAATATTAAAGAAAAAAACCACAACAACATTTATGGTCAAAGAAAGCATCCCCGCTTCTTCTATCCAGTTTAATACACTCTTTTTTTAATAAGAATGTTGTTTTTCCTTTTTATTCTTGTTTTTCTGCCGATTTTAGCCTGAAAATATTCTTGTGTATTACTCTTAAATTATAGCTTATGACATTTCCGTTTTAGAATATATTGGGGCATGAATTATATTTAGTGCAGGTTATTTCGTTTTGTTGGCTGGTTTTGCCGTTTAGAGAAAGGATTAAGTTAAAACATATTATTGGTATTGCATTTACAGATTTCAACACACAAAATTATATCCTCACTCTAAGCCTATGGTTTATTCTTAAGATATTCTTCAAATTTGGCAAATTTCAGCCTCGATATTCTTATAAAATACATTCTTGTTAAAAATAGTGTAACAAAGGAAACATGACAATATTTAGATTTTGCGTCATTCATTTTTTTTCTTGCGTGTTGTACAAAATTGAAAAAGATTTACGACCTGTAAATAAGCTATGTTTTTAAACATGATAAGGTGTATAAAATGTAATAAAAAATATTGGAATTCAAACAGAAATCTAAATGTCCACAAGGTACGATTACTGCAGACTTCTAATTAGCCTGCTCACAGGCTTTTATTCCAGCGAACGAATTGATTGTAACCATCGCGGGGGATCAAACGCTGGCACAAGAGGGGGTAGGGCTGGGTCGCTTCTCTCACAATCAGCGTTTGCCAATTATATAAAATTTAAAAAAGAGGAAACTTTTGCGAACAGAATAACTTCTGCGTAAATCCAATACAAAATTGAAATGAGAACTTTAATTTCATAACCTTTAAAACTACTTCCTTTACAATGTTATTTACACTGTATTAGGTAGGCATTTCTCATTCTGTCTCAGACTCGGGTTCGATTTCGTTCGATGGCCGTTCGAACTCTTTCGATTAGTTCAAAAACTGAATGTTTGATGTGATACGCCGAGGATTTTGCGTTAGTAATAATTATATTTTCTACTGGTCAGCAAAATTTGTTAAGCCCCCAAAGGGGATTTACCCTTGTAGTTGAAACAAGATGGTTCTTGACAGTTTTTCCGTCCAATATCCAAACCTTCGAAAACATTGATTGATAGGGGATTGATGTATTATTGTTATTTTGCTTAACTGAAAGCAAACTTGAACTATGAGGACGTGATTTCGAATTGCAGTCTGCTCAAAGCACGTTTTATTAGCGTGTTTTCTATCTTGCGGCGGTCATTAAATTCATTGGTTCAGTATTACCTTTCTGGAATTACCCGGCGGATTTTCGCGTAGCCTTTTCAGTAACAGCAGTAGGTGGACATGAATAATCGTGCAATTTTCGAATAGCGTGGTAGCTTCGTGAAACATTGCCAATGTTATTCACTTATATCGGGCACCAAACGTTTTAAAGCAATGCCAGGCGTCTTGAACATTAAAACTTTATCCCTATTTGAAATTATCCCACTTCTACTGTGAACGCGTGCGATCCATTTTTGAACTCATGAAAAATGAATTTTCCCTTTGAAGTGAGCGACGACGCGACATCATTGGAAGAAATGGAAGCTTTGGTTGTTATGGGGGGGCTTGGAATGTGTTTTTTTTTTTAAACTTAGTAACCGTTTCTTTGCCTTTTCATATGAATAATCAAGTTTTAATTAAATTTTTAGAATCTCCTTGGATCATGCTTATCAATACCAGCTGGAAGCATCTTGCCCCCGGGGGAGGTGGGAGGGGGGGGCTCAAAAAATTATTTTACGGGGAGGCTCCGCCCCGAGGTCCAGCCCCTTGCAATTTTATCTGCCGTTTTGACAAAATCAATCAAATCAATCGATCAATCATTTATTTTGACACGTTACGTCGAGGAGCTAGAAAACTCGTTCAAAATACGAACGTGTAAAAAAAAAAGCATCCCTTGGTGTAAATTCATCCCCTTTGAAATATAAAAAAAATCGCTCTATTTAATGCTGATGCTGAATCTTCACACTTTGCTGGCGCAGCTGATCAACGGGAGACAAACTGTTGCCACTGAGTTTTTCATTAATACAGAGTAAAAGCTAAATAATTAATTTTCCATGGTCGTGTGGCGTCCAAAATAAACAGCAGTAATTTTTCATTGTTAGTATGATAATTCAGAAAGTGAATATATGAAGTTTCAAGTACGTGCTAAATATAATTCATTCGACAGTAACTGCAAAGACTTGTTAAAAACTATTTTGAAGTAAGTTATTTATTGTCCTGTTTTTACTAGGTAAGTCAACCGGTTGATCCATTGCTTTCGGGGCAGCTTCTCACCGTAGCTTTCTTATTGAGCCAGTTGCTGTCATGAGCTACTTTTCTTTACAGTATGGTTGACATGTGCGATATGTAACATTCCCATTCAATTCAGAGTATAATAATGTTGAGGCCCGTTGAAGACTACACCAAAAAAGCAATCTCCATCTCCCAGAACCGAAAACCGCAGGCCTCAACAATCAAACGTGGCAGATTGGCAAAACCCCTATTGATTTGACGAAACGTTATCCGAATGCAGGCTGATGTGAAGGGATCGTGTCACCAGAATTCTCCGAAGTTCTCGAGTCAATTTGATGCTAAAATCATGAAGGTGCACTCGCCGAAACAAAAAAATGGCCTTTGAACAAACCAGCGAAAAGACCTCTAACCGTAGTCCAAGTTGGAAGCTAACAATGATGGTAGGACGATTTTAAGTGACCCATTCTAGTTTACGCCTCCTCCCTCTTGACCTTCAGAAACTTGGACAAGCTCCTCGGGGCGCTTATTCGAGCGTTTACGGTATTTGGTACTCACCCTTAGTCAATCAATTTAGTACCATTAGCTGATCCTGCTGTTTTTATTAGTGGTGCAGACCACTTCCTCTGCCACGAATTCATTTTTTTAGCTATCCTATCTCGTCGTATCCGGGGTAAGTTGTAACGATTGCATTTATAGATGCTATGAAAAATGTGTATCGTTTATGACTGAGCTAAATGGGATTACTTTTTAAGCGGTCAGTATTCAGACGTTCAGCACCTACCAACCAGAAACCTCACTAGGGCTCGGCATAGTTCACCTGAATGTCTCTCTTAAGTTTGCAGATATATTTTATAAGTATGGAGGCAAATTGAAAAAAAAGTGTAACGAATAAGATGTTGATCTAATACTTCAAGGAGTTGCTTCCTTTTCGATATACGGGAGCCAATCGAGAAGAGCATCAAATTTCTTTCTTGAATAAAATCATAGATTAAAGGGAAAGTTCAAAAAAGACCAACAACGAATGCTCGACAAATAACTATTTCAAGCATTATTCTTAAACACATTGTCTTCTTTTCAGTTTGAAACTGGTTTTACTTGACATTGAGCTTCAAATGCAACGAGAACGAAAACCTAATTCAAGCGCTGTAACCATTGACTTAGACATCGCCTTCTATGAAAACAAAATCATGGAATACGTGCTTAACCGTTTATCGATGGGCAAACATTTCGTCGTCCCTCATCCTGAAACCCATAAGGAAGCTCACGTGATCATTCCTTTGGCTGACGTCACTCCAAACTTTGTTCATCCACAAAAGAAAAAGTCTCTCCGAGATATTGCCAAGGACATCAGTGGTAAAGACGACTTCTGCTCTCTGTTTTCCACAGTTCAAGACAAAGGCTTTCTGCAAATGATTGATGCATTCGGTTGAGCATTCCTATAAGCAAGGGGACAGTTGCAAAATAAATCCCAGGTTTAAAGGGGAATATCAGATGTTAGATGGGGAGCCACTTTTTAATAAAATGACCCTAGAAACTGGCAAGCCTCCAGCTGAGTCTAACACCTTTTGACAGATTTGATTAAACCATCCTCGACGAATACCTCCCTGCATGCTAACGCCAGTGACTTGCAAAACATTCCATGCTTAGCAGATCCTGTCTCAAGTCACTCCATAGATCGATTTAAAGGCAGCATCCCCAATTGCATTGAAAAACCTTTGACAACTGAGATCCACCCGGTTGCTTTGGTAACGGGTGCCGCCAAGAGGATTGGTGCTTCCATCATTAAAAAACTACACGATGGAGGATATAACGTATTGGTTCATTATAACAAGTCTGAAACAGAGGCAAGCAAGCTGGTCCAAAAACTTAACAGGTAGAAAAACATTATTGCAATCATGTTGCTCTACAATATTTCTTCAGTTTATCATTACATACTAACCTTCACAAACCACAGAATGCTTCTATTCAACCATAATCTCGTGCTATATATCGATGTTTATAACCTTTTTTCTTCACATAGAGAACGACAGAACTCTGCCGTGCTGGTACAAGCTGATCTATCATTTGATGTAAGCAAAACTGCCCAGCGGGTCATCACTGAAGCGGTGGAGGTGTGGGGAAGACTTGACGTCTTGGTGAATAATGCTTCCCAGTTTTTCCCAACACGCGTTGATGCAGTAACAGAACAGGAGTGGACAGTCCTAATCCAAGTTAATCTAACGTCACCATTTTTTCTCTCGCAGGTATATTGGACAACCATGTCAAATAACGTTTTAAACTTCTGATTTATCATTTTCAAGTTAGTTTTTGTAACGAAATTAATATTTTAACTTTTAGGCTGCACATCCTTTCTTAAGAGAGTCCAGCCGAGGAAGCATTGTAAACTTGTGCGATATCCACGGAGTGCGACCCAAGGCTAATTACTCAGTCTATTGTATCTCCAAAGCAGGCCTCTATATGGCTACACTATCATTGGTTAAGGAGTTTGAATCAAATGTCAGAGTTAACGGTGTTGCTCCCGGGTGCATCCTCTGGCCTGAGGGACCATGGGAAAGAATGTCCGTCGATGAAAAAGAGAGAGCGAAAAAACATCAGGAAACTCTGAGGAAAGTTCTGTTTGGACGAAGTGGAGATCCAGCTGACATAGCCAACACGGTTTTCTTTTTGTGTGATTCCGCAGGGTATATCACAGGCCAAGTTATAGCTGTTGACGGAGGCCGAAGCTTACATCAATAGTAGTTCCGTGCTTTTGATAAGAACATTAGTTTCGAGTGCTTATTTGCAGTTTTTTAAACTTCGTTTTTAAGGGTGCTCACTTTAGCCACTGAAAACTGAGTTCTAAGACAAAAGCGCTGTTAGTTTTTTTTTAGTGGGGGGTGGGGGGGGGGGGGGATTTTATTTTTTTTTTTTCTATATTTAAATTTGGGGGGGGTTTTCACGTTTCCCCTGGTTTTAAGGGGTTTTTTGGGAGATGCTGGGAGGGGGGGGGGGGGGGAAAGAGGGGGTGTCCAGGGGGGGCGGCGGTCCTTAAAAAAAAAA